GGGGCGCGCAGCTCGCCCACTCACCCTAGGGGGCGCAAGGAAACCTCGGGGTCAGCTGCGCGCACTTCGGAGTCTATTCTGGGCGGCTCGGAGGCCTCATCTCGATCGCGGGCCCTCCAAGAACCGCCCTGGTCCAGAGCAGGATAGGATGGGGGTTCCCCAAGGGAGGACTGCAGGAAGATGGAACGGGATTTCTTCACCTGCCCTTCATCGCCTAAGTGGGCCTACACTCTAACTGGCTGTCCCTTCCGTGTCATCGCCACGGTCCCCATGTGCACCCCGTTTGTCCTCCCCTCTTCCTGCCCTATGTCGCCTCCCCTCAACTTCACCTCCTTTCGTGACCGCTGGCCGGGTTGACCCTGCTGGGCCTGCGCTCTTCACCCTCAGGCCAGCCTATTCTCCTCTCCCTGTGTGCACCCCAACGCCTCCCAGTTTGGCCTGGAGTATGTATTAGGTTGGTGCAAAAGTAACTGTGGTTTTGCAATTTTTTACAAATGGCAAAAACCGCAATTACTTTTGCACCACCTATAAATAGGCAGGGGGAATGGGCAAGAAAAGCCTTAGAGAAGGGGCCAAGAGCCAATCACCTAGCCCACCAGGAGTATGGGTTTGCCAGAGGCATGATATATATTGAAGCAGAAAAGGAAGAAAAAAGATTAAGGAGACAAATTGTTCATGATAAGGGGTTTCCTGATAAACTCAGAAACAGCAACTACCAGTTATGAAGCATTTAAACTGACACTCATTAATCCTCACAACGGTCCTGTGCAGGTGGTGTTTTTTTTTTTTACCATCTTACATTCTGGAGCTGCAGTTGCTATGTAACAAAGGCAGCATTTGAACCCTGGCCTGCTCATACCAGAGCGGGGGCATCTAACTGCACCCACAAAGGACAATGGAGGAAGACTGTGTCATTATAACATGAGCAAATGGGGAAAAGACAAAAACAAATGCTTTTATTATGCCCAGGTTGTAAATTTATAAACATGAATGAAATACACATACAAGAGGCTGAGGCAGGAAATCACTTAAACCTGGGAGGCAGAGGTTGCACTGAGCCAAGATCGCATCACTGCACTCCACCCTGGGCGAGAGAGCAAGATTCTGTCTCAAAAAACAAAAAAAAAAAGGGTGGTTCCATATGATACAAATGTTAGAAAAAGGACAGATGTTAGTTTGCTGACTCCAGCAAGGAGTTACCTTTTGGGTGGTAGTTCTCACCACAGCCCAGGATGCCAATGTATTCTCTAGTTACATGTTAAGATCTCCAAATCCAGGGTATCCCTCCTCAAACAATGCCAGTCCTACACTGCTAAATGTTTACTGAATGAATGGATGAATGAAGGCAACATTTTTAGATGTGGGAATCCCACAGTGCTTGGTTCTCTAGATTAATCTCTAGGGGCCTCCTTTGAACTTGGTTCTTCAACCTCCTCAGTTGCCCACATACTACATCCTAGGGTGAGGCATTTCTCCAGACTTCACTTATTACCTTGAAAGTGCCATACTCTCACATGTAGGCCTTGACATGCTAGCTCTTTGGCTAAAACTCTCCCTGCTCCTGTCCCCATGTTCCCCACCTGTCATCTACTTCTATCCACCCTTTTACTCAGGCCAAAAACCTAGGAATTTTCCCATTACCACTTTGCTCCACTGCTATAACCAGAGGTGACAGTGACTCGTAGCAAGGATACATGCCCACCAGCAAGTTCTGGTTATCAGAAAAATATAAGAGTAAATTTGGTCACCGTGTAATGGAAATGCAAATCTAGTGATGGCAACAGCGGTATCTTGACAGGAGATATGAATCTGGGAGCTTTGACCTGTGACCTGCCATTGTCAAAACTGTCCAAACCTGTTTCAGAGCACAGGTTTGACTAGCTCCCTAAAAAAACCTCAGGATATTCTCTCCTAGTATCCCAGAGAGCTCTGGGAGCGCTTGAGATCAGTGGCAAACTAATGACAATGAGTCATCAGCAATGTACTAGGGAATGAAGAGCTATCAAACTTCTCTGGGTTTTGAGATCTGTGTAATACCAACATCACTTTGGGGTATATTGTTGTTTTGTGTGTTTTCTTAAGACAAAGTCTCTCTGTCACCCAGGCTGGAGCAGTGGCGCAATCTCGGCTCATTGCAACCTCTGCCTCCCAGGCTCAAGCTATTGTTGTGCCTCAGCTTCCCAGGTAGCTGGAATTTTAGGTGCACAACACCACGCTTGGCTAATTTTTCTATTTTAAATATAGACCGGGTTTTGCCATGTTGGCCAGGCTGGTCTCAAACTCCTGACCTTAAGTGATCTGCCTGCCTCGGCCTCCCAAAGGGTTGGGATTACAGGCGTGAGCCACTGCACCAGGGCTGGGGTATGTTTACTAAAACATTTATCTGTAAAATGAAGCTAGCTGCTTTGCAGAATTGAGAATAAAGTTTAGATATGTACAAACATACGTGTGTGTAGGTAGGTGGAAAGACAAAAGATAAAGGTGCCCTCTACTATTCTATTTCTCTTCTCTCCCCTTTCAAGACCAAAATGACTCAGAACACAAACTCATGTATCAGGCCCCTTAAATAGCTGCTTAAAGGATTGCCCTGAAGGACTATTTTGATTCCGCATTTTTAAAAGTTTTATTTTATTTTATTTTATTTTTGAGACAGAGTTTCGCTCGTTGCCTAGGCTGGAGTGCAATGGCGTGGTCTTGGCTCATCCCAACCTCCACCTCCCAGGTTCAAGGGATTCTCCTGCCTCAGCCTCCCGAGTAGCTGGGATTACAGGCATGTGCCACCACGCCTGGCTAATTTTTTGTATTTTTAGTAGAGACGGGGTTTCTTCATGTTGGTCAGGCTGGTCTCAAACTCCCGACCTCAGGAGATCCGCCCACCTTGGCCTCCCAAAGTGCTGGGATTACAAGCATGAGCCACCACGCCCAGGAAAGTTTTACTTATTTTAAAAATATGGCTGGGCACGGCGGCTCACACCTGTAATCCCAGCACTTTGGGGGACCGAGGCAGACAGATCACCTGAGGTCAGGAGTTTGAGACCAGGCTGGCCAACATAGTGAAACCCTGTCTCTACTAAAAATACAAATATCAGCCAGGCAAGGTGGCAGGTGCCTGTAATCCCAGCTACTTGGGAGGCTGACACAAGACAATCACTTGAACCCGAGGCAGAGGTTGCAGTGAGCCAAGATTGCGCCACTGCACTCCAGCCTGGGCAACAGAATGAGACTCTGTCTCAAAAAAAAAAAAAAAAAAAAAAAAAAAAAAAAAAAAAAAAAAATTCCTAGTTCTACTGAAACCTCAAACTATTTAGTCTTATTTTATATACCAACAACTTCCCAATCAAATCTGCTTTAAGTTCCAAACATTCAGCTTTTGTTCCAGAGGTCTGCGGAAAAGCAAGCTTTGCATCAATGCAAAGGAAAATGATCCACTCTTGCTGTGAAGCAAGTTTCAGGAAGGAAAGGAGTTGTAGCCAGAGGTGATTCCAACATTCCCAAATGCTTCTGGCTGAGACCTTCAGATTTTGTTTGAAACAAATTCTCAGAATACCAAACACATCTTTATTCAAGTGGAAGTACAAAAGCACATTCCTAAACCAAATGCATACATGTGATTTTTACATATTCTGCTTTTGGGATTACATAATCCTGTTTCAGTCACCACAGGTGACTACTGGTCTCTATACATAAGGGTATACATGTTTGATAGGAAAAAACACATGCATTTTTCATTTGCTTTTACATTTAGATCAATTCATTTATATATCAATTTCATTTAGATTCCTACCTTGCCTTGATGAGATCCTATTCTTGCTGATGGCAAAGAAGTAAAATATAGTGGCAGAACTATCCTAGAGGTTAGCCATAGGAAGATTACAGAGTGAGCAATATATTTTTATATATTTGTTGAGGGACTCTACTGAATATTATTAACACTGAACTATGAAAGCCTCAATTGCTGGACTGACAACAAGAATTTTAAACAACATCTGTCTCACTCACAAAATGTTATAAAGCTTAAGACAGAAAAATACAAAATGTTTTGACATTACCTAAAGAATCATGAACTCTTGTTCGGTGTATGATGGTGGCCCTGAACTTGAGCCAACATCTGTAATCACTTTTATCAATCAAAAAGCCATGTTCTTTTATATAGCCTGTAGACTATTAAAATACAAAAATGTGGCAATGGATAAACAACTATACACAAAGCCCTCACACTTCAAATACTGTCCTGGATTGATGAGGGGGGAGCAGAATTCAATATTTATCTGCAATCCTAATGGTTAAAATTTTACCAGGAACAGACCTGCCACTCTCTTGAAATACTGTCTCTGAGATTAACATAAGAACAGCATCATCTCTGTTGGAAGGCTACATTCCCTTATGATACTGATTTGTGTGTGTGTTATTATTTATTTTATTTATTCATTTATTTGAGACAGAGTCCCGCTCTGTTGCCCAGGCTGGAGTGCAGTGGCACGACCTCAGCTCACTGTAACCTCTGCCTCCCAGGTTCAGGCGGTTCTCCTGCCTCAGCCTCCTGAGTAGCTGGGATTACAGGCACACGCCACCACGCCCGGCTAATTTTTGTATTTTTAGTACAGACGGGGTTTCACCAAGTTGGCCAGGATGGTCTGGATCGCCTGACCTCATGATCCACCTGCCTCAGCCTCCCAAAGTGCTGGGATTACAGGTGTGAGCCACCACGCCCAGCCTGTGTATCTTATGTTTACCCTACCAAAAGCAGACCTGAGCATTTTGCTGGCCTGAGAGGTATATAAAAGAACTCTAAGCTTAGGCATGCAGAATAGGCACTGGATGAATGTAGTGAGGCTACCAGGAGTCTTGGTGGCTCCCTGATGTCCTTATCATCTCTCTTCTTCGCAGACTGTGGATGCACATAAGACAGCTAAAACCTTGGGCATCATTTGAAAATGTCTGGCTGCCTGCTACAATCTCAAGAGAGAGAATCCTTCATACTTATATTGGACTGGATATATTTTCAATCCAATTATTTTTCTAAAAAAGATGCTTCGCTTTAGGAAATAAGACACCAGACCAGCAACATCAAGTAGGTATGGAATACTTGCTGGTGAAACGCTTAAAATTAGGAAACTTCTAAGTCTTCTAAAGGTGCTTAAGAGAATGGAGAAGTTAATCAACAGGAATCCAAGTGTTGTGGCTGTAAAACAATATGACATAGGATCCCTAGTAAAAAGCAGGCCTAAGAGTTGGTTTTGGAGAGAACTTAGGCCAAGAACAGCAGAAAAAGCTAAATGAGCTACTTATGTCGATGTGTTTTAACACTGGTGCATTAGCAGTATCTTATGGAAGTTGTGAACACTAAGAACCAATTTCAAAAATAAAAATGTTTATAGGGCATATTAAAATAAAAACAGCTTAAATGAGTTCTATAAATAAAATAGGCCCGGCACAGTGACTCACACCTGCAACCCCAGCACTTTGGGAGGACGGGTGGGAGGATTGCTCAAGGCCAGGAGTTCGAGACCAGCCTGGGCAACAAAGCAAGACCCCATCTCTGTTCTTTTTAATATCAAAATTATAATAAAAAAGTAAAAATAAATGTACCTACTTAGAATACATATTAAATAAAGGAACTCCATGAGAAAATGGCACTGCATTTACCAAGTCAACCCTAGATTTTTGTGTAATGAAAAAGATTGGGACAATGTATTAACAATTTCATAAACAAATAATCAACAATTTTCTCTCCATTATTTCGATGTTGGGTAAAGCCTGAAATGTGGTGTCAAGTTTTTCCATTTGCATTACATCAAATTCTTGTCTACTATGGATATTCTGATATGACAAAGACTAAACTCCTATTGAAAGATTTGCCATTTACTACACCCAAATAAGTTATCTTAGGTATAAATTATTTGATGTTGAATGAGTGTTGGGTTATGACTGAATCTCCTCACACACATACATGTTTATTACATTTATAATCTTTTTGCATGGCATGAATTTGATACTAAACAAGGTAGTTTCTTTGACTGATGGCTTTTTCACATTCACTGCAGCAATGGAATTTTATTCCCGTGTGAATTATCTGAATGTGACTAAGATATGAAAATATTAACAGCATGAAAAATTTACCACATTCAATACATTTATAAGATTTCTCACTGGTATAGATTTCCGGAGTCAATTAGGAGTTTAACACTAATACCTTTTCTTCATTCGTCACATTCAGAGGGTTTCCCTCTGGTGTGAATTATCTGATGCTGAGCAATGGTTGAGCTATGACTGAAGGTTTTACCACATGCAGTACATACATGATTTCTCCCTGGTGTGAACGCTCAGATGCTGAATGAAGCCTGAATTTGACTAAATGTCTTCCCATCTTCATTACATTCATGAGTTCTCTTTGGTATGAATGCTCTGATGTTGAACCAGGTGTGCTCTCTGACTGGAGTTCTTTTCCCATACATCACAATCAAAGGCTTTCTGTCTGGTGAGGACTTCTTGTTGCAGGATAAGATCTGAGCTATGACTGTAACTGCCCTCATACTCATTACATTCATATGATTTCTCTTTCCTATGCATTTTGTGGTGCTGAATAAGGCATGAGGTTTGACTGAAAGCTTTTCCACATTCATTACATTCATGCGCTTTCTCTCCTGTGTGAATTCTTTGATGCTGAATAAGATGTGAATTCAATCTGAAGTCTTTTCCACATTCATTACACGTATAGGGCTTTTCTCTGAAATGAATTCCTTGTTGTTTAATATAGGTCAACCCATATTCATCATACTCATAGGCTTTCTCTTCATGATGGACCCTCTGATGTTCAAGTAGGTATGAAGTATGGCAGAAGTCACTGCCACATATAGTACACTTACAGGACATCTCTTTGTGAATTTTCTGATGTTGAGTAAGGTGGACACTACGACTGAAGACTCTTTCACAACTGCTACATTTGTAAGATTTGGCTCTGGTGTGAATTTTCTTGTGCTGAATAATGCCTGAGCTTGGACTACAGGATTTATCAGACGCTTCACAGGATTTATCAGATGCTTCACATTTGTAAGGTTTTTCTCTAGTGTGTATTCTTTTATGTCGACTAAGACTTGAGCTCTGACTGAAAGACTTCTCACATTCTTTACATTTGTAGGGCTTCTCTCTAGTATGGATTCTCTGATGTCTAGTAAGGGCTGAACTCTGATGGAAAATTTTCCCACATACATCACATTTATAGGATTTCTCAGTGTTAGGGATGCTCTCCCATTTATTAAGGTGGGAGAGATCCATTAAGCTTTCCTTACATTCACTACTCTGAAAATCCTGTGTTAGATTTATGTGTTCATGTTTACCAGAGGCTGAATTCTGGCTGAAGCTCATGTCGTACTTATCACTGTCATCAGTATTCTGTATTCTAAGAACTCTCTGATCCGCATCAATAGTAGAGTCCAGACTGAAGCTTTTCTCGGGTTCATTACATTCATTGTTCTTCTCACTGGTGAAGGTTTCCTTGCTGATTGTTATTTGCCTAAACTCTCTCTCCAGGTACAGAAATTTCCTTAGAATTTCCTGAAGCCTTTCTAATCTGTCCTCAGACTTATACACTTCTCTAGTCTCAGGAACTTGGGTAATATCGTGTTTGAGTCTTCCTACTCTCACTTTGTACGAATGTACTTCTTCCGAAATTTTCTGCTTAGGAATCAACAGCTTGTTTTCTTCTCTGGTCTCTCCATCTGATATAATATATAAATAGAAAATGCAAATGTAATCTGTACCCTGTGCTTAGGAAAAGAAAACTCAGATGAGAAAACTAAACAATGTAGTATCTACAAGGACAAGAAAAGTTTATTTCCTCTGAAAAACAGGCACAAAATCTCAACAGCAGAAGTAAGGGCATAAACAGGAGCAGTGAGGTAAAACAGCGGACATGTTCAGCAGAGTAAGGAGATAACAGGGAAACAGTTGAAAGAATTTTAGGTAAGCAACTTCATTAGGGGTCTAGTACGACATATGCACAGGTACTAAACAAATGGGAAAGGTCAGCCTAACTGAAGGGAAAAGGAAGGAACTCTCCATGCTAGCACACACACAGAGCTCTTCATTCTGAGTGCCAAAGCAGCTACAACTTGGCTGAACAACTGAACTTTACTTCCCTACTAATTGATTGATTCTGCCTTACTCACCTGAGCAGTCACCTCTTAAGACTTCTCTAGTCTTAGTTTCCAGATCAAAGACCTGTAGATCCTGTTCCAGCTGGGAGATCCCATCAGGCTTGGAAATTGGAAATCCTGCTCATAGAGAAGGAAATGGAATGTGGCAGTGTATCCCCAGGTCCTACACCAGTCACTTTTTCTTTTAACTAATGATTAAGAGAGAGAGGTCAATTCTGAGAAGGCATTAATTAGGAAGGCCTGGAGAGTGAAGAGGGCAAAGATCTTCTACAAGGAGCTCAGATTTGTGCTCTAGAGAGATGTGTGTTAAGGGGCAAGTTGATGACTTGGGAGCAGAAGGATTCATTTAAATATTATTCAGACAACAGAATGTGTGCATGGGTTTGTCTTCACAGAAGTTATCATTATCACTCTCCATCTGTTACCTAAAGATTAATCTTCAGATTAGATCTGGTCTACAAGTATCAAAACGGAGGTCATCAAAATATAATTCTGCTGGACTGGAGAAAGGTGAAACTCAAGCACCTGCTGCATGGTTAGCTAACCTGTAGCAAGAGAATCAGTGAAAACGAAATAAATATTCTAAGGACCAATCTCAAGGAACAATTTGTTTCAGTGCACATAAGAAAAAAAAGAGTAATATGACACATTCTTACCCATTAGGAGTGTAGTATTTATTCGATAAACATTTATGAAGTGCCTCCTCTATGCAAAGCATGCAGGGGATAAAGAGGCCAAGAAGGTCCCTTCCCTTGAGGACCTCACATTCTACACAGAAACAGCTCTAAACAACTAACTACAATAAAATATAGAGAGTAAAGTGCAATCAGTGCATCTTCACATAAAACAGTCCTTCTATGGCTTGCATAATGCAATGACTGGATATAAATCTCTTTTAAGGCTAAAGCAACACACAGTCAGCTTCCAAAGAGACAGAATTTTAATACTATTAGTATCAAAGGGCAGTTTTTATATTTGTCCATTCCAGAAAGCTTCTAATAGCACACATACAAGGTCTGGCTCAAGCCCCTCATCTCCAAAAACCTTTCTCTTCATTTACTGAATGTGTACCAAATTTGTTAGTTGTTCCTCTTATCCTGACATGTCACATATAATGGTGTTTACATAGATTTTTTTTAAGTGGTTTCAGGCATTATCACTCATACTTGATTTATAAACTCTTTGATAGAAGGGACCAGGTATCTTGTATCTTGTACTTCTTTTCATTAATTTACTTAACAGCTACTTATTGAGTGCCAACTCTGTGCGCCCAAGCATCAGTGTATTAACAGCCACCCAATTTTATAAAAAGGGCACTGGGGCTGGAAAATATGAAGAGTTGACAGCTGCCCCGAAAATTCCACGTGAGAGCCTATGAGCAAGGAGATCAGAATAGATAGAAGAAAAGTATTTACTGTGTTTCTGAAATCCTGCTGGACATTTAGAGTCAGTTCTCCTTGTGGATATTTATTTAATTAAGGTCTGCTATGTCAAATGAAATCGTTTCAGAAGTTTAAAAAGTAAAGTTAGTGTAACATGAAGCAATCAATATTATTCTCAGAATTCCAATAACATAATTTGCAACTTTTAACTGAGATATTTAAGGTGTCTGTCGATATTTAGTAACTGAAAGAAATTCTGGCTGTTTACTCCATATCTACACTTAAAACACATACGCACAACCAAAAAGGTGGTCTTGATATAGGATGAGGGGTTTGATTTTAGATATCTGTTTAACGTAACGTAGGAAGGTGTAAGAGAAAATGCCCAGTAGATGAGTATGCAAACGCATACAGAGTGATAAAATGGACTTCAGAGAGTAAGAAGGGAAAGGGTGGGAGAAGGGACAAGGGATAAAAAACTACATATTAGGCACAATGTACACTATTCCAGTGACAGGTGCACTAAAATCTCAAAATTCACCACTATGTGATATAATTCATCCATGTAACAAAAAACCACTTGTACCCCAACACTACTAACTTTTTAAAAAAAAAAAAAAAAAAAAGAGAGGCCGGGCTCGGTGGCTCAAGCCTGTAATCCCAGCACTTTGGGAGGCCGAGACAGGCGGATCACGAAGTCAAGAGATCAAGACCATCCTGGATAATACGGTGAAACCCCGTCTCTACTAAAAAACACACAAAAAACCTAGCCGGGCAAGGTGGCGGGCGCCTGTAGTCCCAGCTACTTGGGAGGCTGAGGCTGGAGAATGGCATAAGCCCGGGAGGCGGAGCTTGCAGTGAGCTGAGATCCGGCCACTGCACTCCAGCCTGGGCTACAGAGCGAGACTCCGTCTCAAAAAAAAAAAAAAAAAAAAAAAAAGAGAGAAAATGCTGAGCAGGCAGAGATACAATATCACAGTTTAGAAGAGGGAACAGGGTATCATCAGTATCATCAAAATATTATTAAGTTTTACCAAGTATTTGGTAGGTGCGAAGTACCGTGCCAAGAGCTCTCTAGGTTTTCACTCATTTAATACCATAAATTTAAAAGGTAGAAACTATTATTATAGCCATTTTACAGATGGGAATACTAAGATTCACAGAGGTTAAGTAGCTTGCCCAAGGTTACAATAACTGGTAATGCTTAGTTTTCAAACCTGTACAGTCTTATTTCAAAACCTAGCCTTTAAACAATCTGCTAGTTAAAAATATATATATATATATATATATGATTTTGCCTCCTAACAAGCCCTGAAAAAAAATAAATGATGATTGTGGACAAAATTCATCCCTTCCTCCAAATTACACACAGAAAGAACATGTAAGTTTTCTTGCCACTAGCCTAAATGCCTGTTTCCTAAATTTAACTCAAAACTTTACTTTCAAAAATATGTACTTGCTTTACATTTTTCCTGTTTAAAATTAGTGTATTAAAACCTTTTGATTTTATTTAAATCTTGAGTTTTCTAATATGATTTATAAAATACTGACAGTGAAGTAAAAGGTAATAATACAAACAACAGAGAAAAAGTGATTGGAATAATATACGGTGAGCCAGGAGCCTAAATAATTGGGAGTTGTAGAAGTGTTACTTAAAAGGGATCTATGGCTGGGCACAGAAGCTCACATCTGTAATTCCAGCACTTTGGGAGGCCAAGACGGACAGATCGCTTCAGCCCAAGAGTCTGAGACCAGCCTGGGCAACATAGTGAGATCCCATCTCTACAAAAAATACAAAAATTAGCCAGGCATGGTGGCACATGCCTGTAGTCCCAGCTACTTGGGAGGCAGAGGCATAATGATCCCTTGAGCTCAGAAGGTCGAGGCTGCAGTGAGCTGAGATCACACCATTGTACTCCAGCCTGGGTGAGAGTGAGATCCTGTCAGTCAATCAACCAATAAACCAATCAATGTGATCTATGTACCAGGCATGGTGGCTCACACATATAATCCCAGCACTTTGACAAGCCAAGGCAGGAGGATCTCATGAGCTCAGAAATTTGAGACCTGACTGGGGAACATAGACTCTGTTGCTACAAAAAATTAAAATTAAAAATTAAAAGTGATCTAAAAGATGATTTATTATCAAGGAAATGCAAATCCCTTTACAATAAAAATGCAAACCCCGGCCAGGCGTGGTGACTCACGCCTGTAATCCTAGCACTTTGGGAGGCCAAGGCAGGCAGATCACGAGGTCAGGAGATCGAGACCATACTGGCTAACACAGTGAAACCCCGTCTCTACTAAAAATACCAAAAGTTAGCCAGGCATGGTGGTGGGTGCCTGTAGTCCCAGCTACTCGGGAAGCTGAGGCAGGAGAATCGCTTGAACCCAGGAGGCGGAGGTTGCAGTGAGCTGAGATCGCGCCACTGCACTCTAGCCTGGGTGACAGAGTGAGACTCCATTTCAAAAAAACAAACAAACAAAAAAAAATGCAAACCCCTAAGCAATAATCCAAACAAAAATCAATTTGAGGAAACTCCACTATAAATAAATAATTGGAACACATTCCTAAAATTTTTATTTGTATTTAACAATCTGGTCTATAGCTCGTATCACTTGCTGTCTTTCCAAAATATTAAAGTTACTAGCACAAGCCAGGTACTTAATTTTTTTTTTTTTTTTTTGGTGGGGCGGGTATGGAGTTACCCAGGCTGGAGTACAATGACACAATCTTGGCTCGCTGCAACCTCCACCTCCCGGATTCAAGCAATTCTCCAGCCTCAGCCTCCTGGGTAGCTAGAATCACAGGCACATACCACCACGCCTGGCTAATTTTTGTATTTTTAGTAGAGACAGGGTTTCACCATGTTGGTCAGGCTGGTCTCGAACTCCTGACCTTGTGATCTGCCCATCTCACCCTCCCAAAGTGCTGGGATTAGGCGTGAGCCACCACACCCAGTACAAGCCAGGAACTTACATGCATAATCAAATTCAATCCTGTACAACCCAGAAGGTAGACGTTGTTTTTCATGTTTTATAAATGAAGAAAATGAGTGTCAGATTAAATAATTTGCTCAACATACTGGAACCCAAGTTTGATCCCACAGTTTATATTCCTTCCAACCTACTATACTGCCTATCAAAGAAAGCATTAGTAGCAGGTTCTCTTGACACTGATGTGAATGCTTTTTTTTTTTTTTTTTTTTTTTTTGAGACAGAGTCTCACTTTGTCGCCCAGGCTGGAGTGCAATGGCACGATCTCAGCTCACTGCAACCTCCACCTCTTGGGTTCAAGCGATTCTTCTGCCTCAGCCTCCAGAGTAGCTAAGATTACTGGCATGTGCCACTATGCCCAGCTAATTTTATTTTTAGTAGAGATGGGGTTTCTCCATGTTGGTCAGGCTGATCTCGAACTCCCAGCCTCAGATGATCTGCCCGCCTAGGCCTCCCAAAGTGCTGGGATTACAGGTGGCTCATGCCACCACGCCCAGCCGACTCTATGCTTTCAAAATATGCACTTGCTTTACATTTTTCCCATTTAAAATTAACGTATTAAAACCTTTTGATTTTAAGGCTGGATGTGGATCACATGAGGCCAAGAGTTCAAGACCAGCCTGACCAACATGGCAAAACCCCATCTCTACTAAAAATACAAAAATTAGCTGGGTATGGTGGTGCATGCCTGTAGTCCCAGCTACTCTGGAGGCTGAGGTACAAAAATAGCTTTGGGCC